TACGCAGTAAAATTACGGAATATTACGAATCGTAAAATTATGAAGCCTTGCATACAGTAATATTTCGAAATATTTTAAAAAGTTACAAAATATTACGCTTACGCAAACTTGCGGCGGGTCTGAAAACTTACAAAATATTATGTAAAATTACGAAATATTGCGAACTGCAAAATTACAGAATATTACAAATCGTAAAATTATGAAGCTTTGCATATCGTAATATTTCGAAATATTTTAAAAAGTTACAAAATATTACGCTTATGCAAACTTGCAGCGGGTCTGGAAGCTTACGAAATATTATGATGTGTAAACTTGCACAACTTTTCGCACTATATAATTTCCTGATGAAAATTTGTCTAAATTAAGGAATTTGACAATAATTTAATAAAAATTAGATAAATTAAGTTTTGCAAAAATGATCACACTTGTATTACATGATCATATGACAAATATCAAGAAATTACTTCAACAAAAAGTAGCGTTAAAAAATTTTTTTCTTTTGTAAACTTTCTATTAAACTCCCCATCAACTTCCCTATCAACTTTTCAACCAGTTTTTACATCAAGTAAGTTAAGAATTTTTGCAAGTATATTAGTAATTATATTATATTAGATATAACTTAGAGCTGTTTTTTATTTTTTTTTTATAGTTTATAGAAAAAATTTATTTAGAAAGCAAAATTATTCAAAAAAAATCTTTTAATAAATAAATAACTCAAATATTAATAACAATATTTTAGCAAATTTAGATTATGTATTGATTAGTTGTTTAATTAAAATTTATTTGATATTTATTATTAATTATTTTTCAGTTAATTTTTTTTCGTTAAATTATTAAATATTCTGAATTTTGTAAAGTTTTTCTTTTTATTTTTTTAATAAACTAACTTTATAATATTTTTTCCTTTTTTTTCTAGAAACTTCTTTTACTAGCTTCAGGTTAAAGAGGTAAATATTTTGGGAAAGGTCTTAAAAGTTTTTTTATATATTTTTTGACATTTTTTCTTATGTAAGAACAGATTTTGATCGATTTTAATCGGTACTGCACCACATAACTAATGATCGGTAAATTCTGTGAATCAGCGAATATGTATTAAAAAAGGTAATAACTATAATTAACCATTAGTTATTATAATCATCTGTTTAATAAAATTTATGTAATATGATTACATGTCATATATTTAGATTATTTTTATAATATATTAGCTTTTAAAATCTTTTTCTCATACCTTTCTCATACTTTTTTTCTTTCATTTTATTTGTTTCATTTACATTTTCCATTTCATTTATCACATTTATTCTATTACTTATTTATTTTTATTATTGATTTATTTATTTTATTTACTCTTATAAAATTACATGAAAAAGAATATATAATACACTTTTTTTACTTATTTTATTCATTTTTATACTACTATCCTTTAATATTTAATCAGAAATTTGATATAAATATGCTTCTTATTTGTTTAATTTTAGAGATTTTTTTTTGGTTTTAATTAATTAAAGTTAGGATAAATTAAGATTAGGGTTAAGGTTAGAATTAAGGTTAAAATTAGGGTTAGTTAAAGTTAGAATAAAAAATTAATGTTAAGATTAAGATTAGGATTAAGGTTAAGATTAAGGTTAGAAAATAACTATCAATTATTATACTAACTGAAAATTTTATTTATATATATATATTGTTTTAAGTTTTTTTTATTATATATAGCTCTGGTAATAACAATTATGAAAATTATAAAAGTGGATTAGAAAATGAAAATGAGAAACAAGTATTGAATATTAGTAAAGAATTTGATTTATGGAAAAAAGTTAATAGATTTTTTAATAAATATACACTATCAAAAAGTTTTGCTATAGAAAATGCAGAGAAGATTATATTACTTTAAAGAATAGTTTATAATGCCTTATTAAAAGAACTTATTTATGTATTTTTTCAGATAATTATAAACAAATAAAGTGACTAATTTATCAAAGTAATGTCAATATACTTTAAATTCAATTAGATGTCTCTAAAAAGTTAGTTTAAATTGAAATAAAATATCTTCTGCAATTTATGTAACTTCATATAATAATGATTATAATTATTCATTGAATTTATTAATATATAAAACTTTAACAAAATACTGATAGTTTTCTGAAGAAATAAAGGCTGATATAAAATTTTATATATAACATATAGTGAATCTTTAATTAGTACTAAAATTATTTAAAATTTGCTGCAAGTAAAGAATTCACAACAGTATATATATTTTGAAACACTTTATAATTTTATTCAAAAATGCAAACTTTAACACCTATTGTATTACAATATAATGTAACAAATTTGCTTAATTTATTAAAAGAATATCAAACTAAAATCCAGAATGGTATTATCAAACTTGTTTTGATGAAACAAATGAAAAACTTACTTCAATATTTTAGATGTCTTCAACATAAAAACAATTCTAGTTATGTTATCATAATGTTGTAATTAATGATTCAACATATTAAAAAAATTGCTATAATTTGACCTTAAATATTATTATTTGTATTAACTATGATAATTATATTAGATTGGTTGTATATACTCTAGTTGATGATGAAACTGAGACAACATTTAAATGGATTTATGAAAATATTAAAATTGCTACTAGAAATATTATGCTATATTCAATATATACTGATGGAAAATCTGCTATGTTTCGAGTTATTAAGAATGTTTTTGATATAATAGTGTATTTTATTTGTATTTATCATATTGTTCAAAATATTCAAAAGAAATTAAAAAGTATTTTTAAATCAAATTTTGTTCAATTTCATAAAGATTTTTATCAAGCATAAAACAGTTTAATTATTGAAAAGTTTAATTTTTATTAGAAAAAATCGAAAAATAATTATTCATTAGCAGTTTTATATTTAAATTGATACATATTCTCTTTTCTTTATCATTGTAGCTTATTTTTTTTGTTATTTCTATCAAAAAATTTAGTATTTTGGATAGTATAAGTTTATTTTTTTTCAATCAATGATTTATGTAATCTATTAAAAACTAGGAAACAGAAACCATTGTAAGTCTGGAACAAAAAACTAAAATTTGCCGATTTCATTAGATGACAATCACGTGGCAGACAGAGAAACTCATGTGATTAATTTTTTTTTCATAGTGCGTAGACATATATTGTCCTTCGCTTCGCTTCAGATAATTAATAAATTTTTAATGCAAAAATATTAAAAAAGTTTAAAAAATTTACAGAGGATTTATATGCAAATTACAAAATGAGAAATATTAAAATTTATACTAATTAAATTTAATAAATTTAATAAATTAATTGTAAATGAAATTACCTAAATAAAATCATCCTAGATGATCTTCATCTAGAGAGAAAGTTATCAACAATCTTTTTAATAATCTAAAATTTTATTATTTAGTATAATTATTTATAAAAATTTTACAATCTTTTTACAATTGAAATTTCTTTCTGAAATATATTAAATAAATTCATTTTGTTATAATTATTTTTTAAAAAAAATAAAATAAAATAAAAAGTTAAAAATAATTATTTTATAATCTAATTTTAATTTAATAAAATTGATACGCAGTATCACATATAGCTGCAGAATTATATGATATGATATAATACTGATATAATATTGAGCTTTCATTAAACTTTTTAACCATCTTTCCTCTCTTTTTTTTTTCATGTAACATTATAATTACACTCATTTGTTTTTTTTTTGTTTTTTCTAAATTTAACTCATAATATATAAATTATAAATAGTGAAATTATTTTAAATAATACTAAACAAGATAATATATATGAAATAAAACTTCAGGTTAGTAATTTATTTAATGATTAGAATTCTGTTTATATTGCAGTTGAAGCATATGCAAAATAGCAGGATTTTATCACTAATAAATATCGCAAGAATCTTGATTCTATTGATAAGTTCATTATTCAACACCAAGAATATGTCTGTTGAAAATTTGGAATAAATTAAACTAAGAAAGTTAAAGACATTAATACTCATCGTGATACTGTTTCAGTCGAAACAAATTATCTATGGCATGTTAATTTTTATTTTAGAAAATGAGTATATATTATAAAACTTACCCAACTTTCAGATAATCATAATCATCAATGTAATTCAGAAATTATTGACTTAGCCCCAAAAAATTTAAAACTTTTACAAGTTATCTTGAGTAAGATTGAGCATTATACTGTTTCTGGTCATTTAGAAGCTGATCAGCAATATGATTTTCTAACTAAAAAATTTTCAGAATATCATATTAAAAAGAAGAATTTATATAATGCAATTAGTAAGTTTAAAGATATATGAATCTATAATGAATTTGATGCTGCTGAAATGTTATCATATTTTTTGAAGTAGTATGATAAAGATCAAAATTATATAGTTATATCATGTTTAGAAGGTCCAAATAATGAACTACAGGCCTTTTCTAGATAACTAGCTAACAAGTAACATAATGATTTATAGCTAAAATATCATAATGTGATTATTTATGATAATACAGTAAAGACAAATTGTTATGATATAGTATTAAATTTATTTGTTTGTACAGTCGACTCTGGTTATATTATAACGAACCTGTTTGTACTGAAACCTCGCTATACTGAATTATAATTTTCAAAACTGATTTTTTATAAATAATTTCACTGGATATAACGAACTTTTATAATAAAACACTATATAACGCATCCAAACTAAACTTAACCAGCCCCTATATATCAGCTATATAATAACTTTATACTTTCTATAACGAACAGTCATGTGACTATATAGTAGTCCAGGCCAATTTTATAGTGCTGGCTAGAATTACTAGTAATTTTTTTGAAAATTTATGTTAAAAGAAATTATAATTTTGGCCAGCATTACAAATTTGGCCTAAATTACCTATAAAGAAAACTAGTTTTATATATTATATAACGAATTCACTATATACTGAACTAAACCTCTTAGAATGAAGGATTCGTTATATCCAGAGTTGACTGTATTAATAATAATTTCAAAACGAGAATTGTTAAACAAACCTTAATTAAATATGAAACTCAAGTTGCTTATAAATGGATTTTTCAATATATGTTAGAATCAGTTGATAATGTTTTACCTAAAGTAATTTTTACAAATGGTGATTCTGCAGTAATTGCTGTTATTGTGTTATTTATCTTCAAGCATAGCATTTGTTATGTATTTATTATATTATTGAAAATATTAAAACCCTATAAAAAATATGTATACGGTTTTTACACTGTATATACGTATTTTTGATACAGTTCGCATTTTTACATACGGCATATTAGTATAATATATACTGTTTGCAAAATGTGTTTAGTAAAAAATACAATAAAGTATACGGTAAACATACTGTGTGATACGGTATATTAAATTCATAAGTCTATAACGTATACCATTTCTACTGTATATCAGTATTTTGTATACGGTTCACAAAAATATTGTAAATGAAGGATACGGTATACGTATTATTCTACAGTATATTAAAATTCATACGTTTATAACGTATTTTCTACAAATATATACAGGTCAAATAAATAAAAATCAGATTTTTGCCC